ATTCTTTTTTTATTTCAAAAAACAATTCCACTCTGAGTTCCTCTATAACTTTCTGCTGTTGTTTATTTACTATTGACACTATTAATTCATACATATGAGCTTAGCTAGTGTCCTCTGCCCTTGTTTTGGGTAGACATTCATTTTCCCCCATGTGTTTCTGCATTTGATTCTTTACTGCAGATGTTATTAATTCAGGGATTTCTCTTTTCATTTCCAATCTGAGTTCCTCTATACCTTTCTGCAGTTTTTTCTTTATTTCAGAAACCATTGATTCATTGATTTCAGTTGTGTGATTCCCATTAGTTTCTGTGTTAGTGTCCTCTGCACTTGTTATGGCTGGGCCTGGGGTCTGAGATTGCATTTTGCTCCTTCTCATTGTCATTTTTTTATAGCACTGTCTTTTGACCTTTGTTTTAGAGCTTTGGTGCAATTATAACCTTAGCACCTACTGAAATTTAGGTGCAGATCTACAATGTTTGAATTTACCTAGCTGTACCTGGCTTGGGTCTGGCTTCTGTGCTCAGCTGCTTCCTGCTGCCACCCTTGGGAGTGAACCTGTTGTGCCCCTCTGGCAAGATATCTGCTCCTGGACTAGCTGGGTAGTTCTGTCCCTTACTTTCTCTGCAGGGATTGCAGCTGCCATGTTTCACCTCAGGCTTGTATGCCAGTCCTGAGCTGAGTCTGAAGGGGACAAAGTGGAGTAGGGGTTAGGGGAAGCTCTCCAGCACACTCACTAGGCCCGGGCGAGGGCTGGATCTAGGGGTCCCAAGAACGCGGCAGAAGTTCTCACTCAGCGGCCATGGGTGAGGGACTGCAGAGTTATAATGCGAGTCCTAAGGAGGTGGAAGAGGGTCTCACCCACGCTGCACCTAGGCTTTACCCAGACAGGTCTGACCGGTCAGGGTAGCTGGAAGCTCTGCCACACACTTAGAGGGCTTGTACTAGTTCTGGATCTGGGGTTTCTGAACTAAAGCAAGCATTTTAGTCTGCTGAGCTATCTGTTCAGCCCTATGATTAGTTCTTATTTGAGATATTCTTCTTGATTTTCTCAAGATTTAAAAAAAATACTTCTATCCATGTTTTAGTTAGGCCCAACCCTTCTTAGCTTCTGAGAGCAGGTGAGATTGGGCATGTTCGGGATGCCATTGTTGGATTCCTATTATTTGTTTAGTGAAATTCTATCGTTTCTTGTATTTCTTTTACTAATTTTATTCTCTTAAGAATACTAATTAATTAATCAAATGCAACATATGAGAACAATACTTCCCCTGTCATTGGCGTCTATACTATCTCTGTTTTCTTTTTCTTTCACTCTTTCCACACATTATCTGAAGCTATTCAAATAATGACAGAGAAATTCTTATAACCAAGAAAACATGCTAAGCCCTAAAAGTACAGTGATAAGCCAAGTCATTCCATATCCACGAAACAACATAGAACCTACAGGAATTGGAGTCTACTGGAGAAAAAGACAATAAAAACTAATTACTGGCATCAGATGGAGGCTACATATGGGCAACATGGACTTGCAGGTGGAGTACCTGGTGATGTTGAGAGGGTGGTCAGGAGGAACAGATACTGAGGATGAGTAGGAATTACTGAAGAGGTGAGAATGTATTCTAGATAGAAAATAAGAAGAGAGACAGGGAGAGAGGTGAAAAGGGAGTGGAAAGGAGGGAGGGAGAGGAGAAAAAAAGATTGATTTGTTACAGAAACTCAAAGGAATGCTGCAATGTTATCATTTGGTGTGGCAAAGCATGGGAGTGGGTAAGTGGACAGCTGAGAGTTTTAAACTGGGGAGTGACATGAAATTTCTGTTTTGGAAGGATCTTTTCTCATTCAGAGTGAGAACATTTCTAATCTTGCCTTGAAGGAGCCTGGGATCCTATAACTCAGGTGAAAGCAAAAGCCTAGTGTCATGTCTGTGGAATTGCAGAAAACTAACTTATCAAAGAAGTATTAAGGTAATATCTAGTATGATTTAAACATTTTTGTGTTTGATAACAAATGATGGACGAGATAGTAAACTAAGAAGACATCTGTTTTCTGATTTGGGCAGCTAGATGACCAGACAATTCTTCCTGAGGTTTTTCAGATGTAGAGAATAGAAGGTTTGAGTGGGGAAGCCAAGCTTACTGAACTGAATTTAAATACTCTACTTGAAGTCCCTGACAGATGTGTGAATATACATATGTATGTGGAACTTGAGTTAAAGTTTGTATTGTATATATCAATAGATTTGTGACTCTTTGAAACACAGGGAGAGTCATTGAAACCAGAAAATGGGTGAGATAACTGCAGAATGTGGGTCCAACAAGAAGTCTTTCCTAAGTTCATTTATGAGTTGGCAGCAGGCTTGAGTGAGGGCAGTGATTAAGCCCTGGGGAGAAGAGTTCATAATGGCATTTCCTAATTGTCTGTTATTCTGAAAAATGCTTCCTGAGAGTAACCACACACACACAAACACACACACACACACACACACACACACACACACGCACACATGCACGCATGCACGCACATGCACATGCACACTGCTCCATGATCAAATAAGTCTGGGAAAATATGAATAATATAGTCCCTACTTAGTGAATACAAACTGCAGTAATGAACCCTTTGGGGCTGGAGTGCATCTCAGTGGCAGAGTATTTGGCTAGCATGTATGAAGCCCTGGGTTTGATTCCCAGAACCACAAACAAACAAAAAATGGAAACAAAACAGCTAAATTTTTATTTTGATTTAACTCAGTTGCCCTTAGGAGTCAGTCCTTGGTATAGATTACTTCAGAATCTGAATGTCACAAAGTGAAGGAAGAGGAAGAGGATTACTTTCTCAGTTGCATGTTTCCAAGTCAAGCCCTGAAGAGAGTGTCATGCATCTGTTCCTTTATCAGATAAACAAATTTGTGCTCAGTGATTGGTTCTGAGTGTCACAACTGGCTAGTAATATATTTGAATTGATGTCAAATTTCTTGACCTTTTCAAGCTAAAAAAAAAAAAAAAATCCAGTAGATGCAATTTCAGTAGTAGAATTAAAATTAGAAATATTTTTGTCAAAATCTCCCTGCCACAGTATTTCCCAAATACCATTCTCTGTAACTTTATATTTTGGTTCTAGTTCTGCCAGTTTTTAGTTGTACAATCTTGAGTAAATTATCTAAATTATCTCTCTCTCTCTCTCTCTCTCTCTCTCTCTCTCTCTCTCTCTCTCTCTGCATTTTAGGGAAGGGACTATGGGGTTTTCAGGGTTTCACTACTAGGTTGGACTCATAGTGATTTTTCTGTTTACAGCCTCTCAAGTGCTGGGATTATAGGTGTGTGCCACACGCCCAGTCTCCCTGGGATTGAACCCCAGGCCCCTGAGCCTGCTTGCAGGCACTTTAATCCACTGGGCTATTTGGCAGGCCCTTATCTAATCTCTTTGAAGCTCTATTCTCACATCTAGAAGTGCAAATATAAAAGTACTTAATAGGATTATTTTTTTCTCATTAACTTTATTGAAAAACAATAATTATATAGCATATTAAAAATTGTAGCCAAATATTGAAATGTGAAAGATGTGAGATGTAGACAGTGAATTTTAGAGAAATATTTCTGGAATAAATAGTGTGAGGTAAATAATAGATTGCACATTGTAAATAAATTATTTACAAACTTAAATGAATGTAACAATAAAAATTATCCAGGGGCCAAGAGATAGCTCAGTGGAATAAGCACTTCCCTGGCAAGAAATTTGTGCTCAATGATTGGTTCTGAGCAAGGGCCTAAGATCAATCCCTAGTTCTGTCAAAAAAAAAAAAAAAGTTCAAAATAAAAATGAAGAAGAAAGAATTTACAGATCAGTCATATAATAGTTCACTCCCTAATATAGTTTTTATTAGTTGTTACTATTAATTAATAAACTGTGGCTGAAATATTGAGATTTGCTGAAGATCTCACAGCTAGCAGAGATAAAAGTAAGACTGAAACCCACCTCTTTGCTCATAATCTGTTACTCCCTTTACTAGGCAAATTATTTTTACTGATGCACCTTGATTCATGCCTTGGAGACCATCACTGACAATAACCTCACATAAGGACAAACTTACTTTTTTTATAATTTTATTGAGAAACAAATAGCAATGAGACAGTTTCAAATCAAATTGGTAGGACAGTTTCAATAATTAACACATTGCATACATTCTTCCTAATGGTTAATTGCTGTACAAGATGCGGACATGATATCCTATTTACAAACACCATTAGAAAAAAATCCCTCTATTCATTAAGAGAATGTAACTATATATCTATCCTGTGTATCCACTTTGAATACACAGATACAAAATAGACATTCATCTGTATCCCCTTTTTTTGTTAAGTTCTGTTATTTGAATATTATAGGTGTGTAAACTCAGCAAAATATTCTAAAAGAGTCCAGTAGCCCATAATAGTATTGGGTCTTCTGCTTGATTGGCAATGTCAGAAATTGTTGACCTGAGTACCCTATAGCTCAACATAACAGACAAACTTATTTTTAACACAGCAAAATCTGAAAGTGATGTCCAGTCAAAGTGAATCTTATGGATTACATAAAGTCCACTGCAAAGAGTGTGGGAGAAATGTGTATACTTTAAAAGACATTTCTAAGTTTCAATCCTAGAAAACATATAAATATTGATTTAGTACTTAGCTCCAATATCAGTCTACCTGAATGGGAAACTTGTGGTAAGGCCAAGAATACCTATTCCTGAACAGTTTCACAGGTAATTCTGAGATGCCATGTTTGTTTAGAATCACAGGTCTTCTCTAGACAAAAATAATCATCCAAATTACCACAAAACTCACCATGTCTCTCAGATTAGCGTTGGGACCGACTTGGTCTCCAAGTTTCTTTGTTTCGCAGAAAGTAGTTTAGGGTGGGTTGCTGGAGGAAGCTTCTGCAAAGCGGGGGGATGGGCTGAATCTCTGAGGCTAAGAAGGTAGACTCAGCCTCACTTCCTCCCTCTTCTCGTCTGGCTTCCTGTCGTCACAGTATGATCACATTTTTTTTCTCTTTACTTCTCTTTTTACACAAATAGCCCGGACATCTGTGTTACCAGTCTTGTTGTGGCCACCTCAAAGATTATAACCCAGTCCTGCCTGAAGGACTGAGGCAAGGTGCGTGAGAAAGGTAAGACTGATTACTTTTCAACCTTGTTTGAGTGTAAATCTCTGACCAATTCTGTGTAGTGTAGGGTAGCTTTTTAGGAGTCTCCACGTGTTCCACTAGTAACTGTAAAATCTTTTGTTTATTTGGACAGGATATCATGTCTGCATCTTGTACTATGAATAACCACTAAGAAGATAACAATATGCAATGTATTAATTATTGACACTGTCCTATTAATTGGTTTTGAAACTGGCTCATTGCTATCTGTGTCTCAAAAATCCTTTGTTTCATAACTATTTAGTACTGCAAGTAAAAATAATCAGAAATATGTTAGTAACATTGAAAGAGGTAGTCAAGTCAGAAATACTTTGACTTAACCAGTTTCCCATTATCTGCTATGACTTTGGGTCTAGCAATTTACATGCTTGAATTACTACAGAATGCGAATTACTTATTGTATACTGTAGTTTCTGGTGCCTGTAATTTTCTGTGTGAGTTGAAGTTCAGGAGATTTCCTATGTACTTTTGTCTTTAGAAGATTGGTCTTGTGATTTTTAAAGTAGGAAGAAACCTTACAGTCAAAGAGATGTAGAAAGGCAGCTGGGAAATGTAGCTCTTCCCCATTTCAGAAATTTTCAAAAGTAATGAGACTCTGTATGGAAGTTTGTCTAAAAATCACAACACAAGAGGTGTTATGTAAATTTACTATAAGAGGTAAAGGCTAGATATCCCTAAGGATATTTATTACATTGCCTTTCAAAGATCAGAAAGAATATTGTGATCTGCAGTGCTCCTCCAAATTAACTTATTCTTGGTATACAAAACATGAATATTGATAAATATTGCATTTAACATACATATGAAAAGCAACCCACAAAACTTGATACAACATTAATTTCTAATTCCTTGGCTCGGGTTAATGAAGTTGCAAGGAATCATCAGCATGGCAGTGCAACTTTGGTTCTGACTTTTGGTGACCACCGTAGTAATTGCTGGTCACTAATGGAAACTTTATATCAGATCTTTATTCTTCAAAGATCTATGAAAATCTCCTATGAATATGTCCTAGAATAGATAGGATCATCTTCTGTGACCTCACCCACCCACCTAAGAATGACACATGGGGATTTGGCAATTTGGCAGAGGGCTTCAGATTCCCAAAACATGTCAGGTACTGTTCAGCTTTGAACTTGGAAATAAAGACCAGACTTTAAATACATTCACTTATTGATCATCTCAGTCAAGTATTTACTCAAGCCAAACACTTTTAGGATGTCCTGCTGTGAGAAGTGTTTAGGTACAAAGGAAGTATTTCCCCACAAATAGTCTTGGCCCTAAAGAACTCCCGTGGAAAATCAGAAATATATTCCTTACAAGTTCTTTGGAAGAAAGTTGAGCCAAAAAACAACATTTCTGGCAGTATGAACAATGTGTGTCTTTCTCAATCTTCAGTGGATCTCTACTGTTTTGAAACCATGGTGGAATAGGGGTAGAAGCTGAACTGAAACATGATTTCCGGAGATATTTCCTGTGTGGGCCAGTTAAGCGTATTTAGCTTTTCATTTAAAAATGAAAGCATGAGGGGATTTTTTACCCACAGCAAACTATTCCAAGACCATTCCTTCACAGCTGTTGTCATCACTACTTAAATTATCTCACTTTTGTCCCATCAATAAGAGGTACGAAGGAGAAAGGAGGCACTCTGTTAGTCCTTAGTTTCTTATGCTCTCTGGTTAATGCCTGGCCACCCAGAGGCTCTCAGGCCCCTGTTGAAAGGGGCCTGGAACATGCCAGTGGCCAGGCATTCTTCTCAGTTACACAGACACGGAGTGAACTGGCATGATACTTGTGAATATCAAAGTGCCTGTCATGGAGAAAAGTGACAAAAATACAGAAATATAACTCAATATGTTTTTTAATATAAGGGCAGGAGAATGTGTATAATATGAAGGAAGAGTTTAGAAATGTGTCAAAGACTCCACAGGAAAGTAGTGGCTGCTTGGGTTCATTTTCATTTTAATATTTATTTATTCATTAATTTATTTAGTTTGTATTTAAGGGAAGGGTCTCCAAGGTGTTCAGGGTCTCACTAGTAGATCAGATTCATAGTGATCCGCTTGTTTACAGCCTCCCAAGAGCTGGGATTGCAGGCGTGCGCCGCCAGCCCGGTTTCAATTGTCATCTCCGCACACCTTGGGGGCGGGGCCGGCCTAGCAGGCCCAGGGATCAAACCCTGGCCCCTGTGCCTGCTTGCAGGTGCTTTAATCCTCTGAACTATTTGGCCAGCCTTTTAGTTCATTTTCAGAAGAGTGATCTTCCTATGGAGACCGGAGATAATGATATTCCAGACAGAGTGTGATGTAGGCAAAATTAAAGGAGTATGAACCTCTAGCATGCTGGAAAAGAAATCAAGTAAGATAAACTGCAATATAACAAGTCAGATCATGTGAAAGGGAAAGACCCTTCTCTTAGCGCTTGAAAATGAATGGCAAAATTATTGAATAAACAGGTCTCAGTCTATCCTTGGGCAGATGTCCAAATGACAGTATTAATGAGATGCCGCTTTGAACGAGGATGAAGAGGTGGATTTTTTTTTTTTTCTCTTCAACATAAATTTTCCTTTAGATCAGAAAGGAAGGGTGGAGCTTTTGTGAGGTTAGAACCACTCTCTTTTTCTCAACTTCCGTTCTAAGAACTTCTATGTTGATTTAGTTGCAGTGGTTTTGTGTTCTTAGCCTATGTACCTCCATGCAGCATCCACTTTGTGTAGGTCATTCTGTGCCTATGAGTCGGGCAACTGCCCTTAAGTAGCTACCAGGATCAGCTGCTACTCTAGATGCTGAATGCTGGAGCAACGTAACACAGAGAAGCCAGACAGCTGTGCAGAGCTAGATTCTGTGTGGCTGCTGCAGCAGAGGAGAAGAAAACTGCTGCTGAAAACTCATCATTTTGGGATGGCAGTCTGGAAGCAAGTTTTAGACAAGAGGAAGATGTTCATTTCCAAAGTCCAAGAGTGGCCTCTGCTCAGAGTGGAGATGGTGAATGTGTGTGGCGGGTTGTTCAACACGTTTTATCTACTGATTATCCATTTCACAAAGAGACAGTAGCATTCTTAGCCAAGTAGTAGCGTCAATAATGATAGTTATGGCCAAGAATTGGCAAGAAAAGTGTCGTATTTCTATAATCATTTACAATGAAAGATCTTTTATAAATGAAAGGAGGAATGAGAAATGGAGGGAGGGTTAAGGAAGGAAGGGAAAGCAGATTGAAAAAGAAGAATGGAAGTAAAAATTGAAATAGCACTTTTTCAAAAGGGAAGGGGAAGAAGAGTTGGAAGGAACACAGAGGAATAGAAGGGGAAAAGGACAAAAAATTACAATGCATCATGGACATGTACAAACTCCCCGTGATAAATGTAATCATTACATATTGTACACACATACTACTAAAATAAAATAAAATAAAGTTAAAATCAGAGTGCTATACTACAAATGTTAGAATGTAGGGAGGAGTCTGTGCTTTTTCACCTAAGAAACAGATTTAGTTTCATCACAGTCATGTAGTCTGATGTCTGATGGCCTGTAGCAGAGGTAAAAACCTAGAATATGGCTGTTCACATTGGGGTGTGTGATTATGCCTTGAATCAATTTGAAAAGCTCCAGAAAAACCAGGCAGTCCATTTCATCTTCACAAGAATTTTAGGTATATTTATGAAGATGATTCTGTATTCTAGTATATCATTTTGGGCATGGACTAGTTTGTATCTCTTCACATTCATATTCTGCAGGATTTGTTTATAATATATGTAAATACGTACTGCTTGTTATGACATACCAATTACTGCCATAATGTCTCTCAAGTAAATGTTTGTTTTAAAAAAAGGGTAATAAATGAAAACAGGAGACAAGAAAAAAAAAGTCACAGTACTGTCCTACTACAATGCTGTATGTGGTTAGATTTCTAAATTTCTGTGTAAAAATATGTAATTGTTTATTCCTATTTTTTTTCAAACTTGAGAGATATGACATTAAGTTCAACTTTCTAAAAACTAGGAAGTCAATAGAACAAATTACTTAGCTCTGTAAAAAAAGAATTTAGGGAGGAATTTAGAGATTATTTAGCTTCCAATAAAATAACTTACAGTGAAAGACCAATAAATGCTGGCTACTACAATATTCTAAACTATTTTCAGTTGGAGTGACTTGTCCAAAATCACAAAATTACTTAAGTAGCTATCTAAATTGCTCATGTTTTGTTATGGAATATGCACTTTACTGCTTTTTCTTAGAGATTTCTATTTAGTTATTTCTTTATTTATATTTTAAATCCTGAGGGCAGGGTTGGCATGGTATGTGCTGCCGGGGATTGAACCGTGGTTCCCTGCAGCTGCCTAAGCTTGCCTAAGCAGGCACTTCAGTTTTTTATTCACTTTTTATTCATTTTAATGAGAAAAAATAAAATAGCAATGAAACAGTTTCAAAACATGTTTGTAGGACAGTTACAATAATTAATACATTGCATATTGTTGTCTTTGTAGTAGTTATTCACAGTATAAGACGCAGACATGATCTCTTGTCTAAACAATATTAGTATAAATCTTTCTTATTAAACTAAGAGAAAGTAGCTGTATATTTATCCTATCTTGTATATACATATATATTTTTTTCACAGCAAAATGGTCCTTTATATCCTCCTTTTCTGTTTTTTTGTTTTTGTTTTTGTTTGTTTGTTTTGGCAGAGATGGGTGTACTATTGCTGATAGAGAAGCTATACCTGGTTCCAGGGTAAACCCTGAGGGGATTTGACTGACCTTATCAGATAGCAAAAGTTACATTTTTAGTTATATAGCTCTTGCTTTAACTTGGTTTTTACCATCCAGCAGAAAACTGTAACCGCGAGGTATAAAAAAAATAAAGCTACATTAATATTCTGAGCTGTAAAAGGCTCAAGCCAGCAACTTCGGATAAATGCCAGGTGAGCTGATAACTCACTACTACTATGGACTATTGGACTATATTGTC